TTCATTATAAGAAGTGTTTGAACTAAAAATCAAGAATGTCGGATACTGTTTGTCAGTGATTTGGACAGCCCAGACTGTGCTCCAGGGGGTGTGCCCCCCACTTTGGGAACCACTGGCTTATACCAACATCACATCCTTCCATTGCTTTTAAATATACATGTATGTGTGTGTATATGTGTATCTGTATGCATGTATCTCCCAATAATGAAAATAGTAAGAGGAAAAAAAGTGGCTCAGATCCTACCTCTCTTCAGATTCTTGGCAACACCACACTGCCCTTTGTTTTGATCATTCATTTTGATCTGTAATAACACTAAAACATTAAAGAGAATTTTCATTATCAACATGTTGTGTATTTTACATATATATATTTTTAAAAACATAACATGTTATACCTAGCTTCATCTTCCAGTAAAGTAGTCCCAACACCAGAAATTGCAGCACCAACACAGCAGTGAGAACAACCCACAGCAGGGTGTAGTAAACGTGTAATGAAGGAATTTCTTCATGAGATAGTGGAAATACAGCTAATACTGGAAAGGCAGAAACAAAGAAGTTCTTTACAGATGGTGTTTAATTTATTATAGATCTGCTAGAAAACTGGACAAGAACAGGAAAGCAAACTATTTGACTAATGTGTACAATACTGTTACAATAAACTATACATATATTACAAAGGAAAAAGAAAACAATTGAGAAGACTATGCAATCCTGTGAAAAACTAAGTACACAGTCACTGCTTTCATAGGAATTATAATGTAAGTAGCAGACAGGTGATAATTCACTTGATTAGTTGATCTCTGTAGCCAACTCTGTAAAAGGAGTTTTGATTGTGTGTTGGTCTAGAGCATTCAGATGTATATCAATACAATGCCATTATCTTCCTGTGAGTGAACATCTGAGCAAATTCACCCCAAGGTCAGACCTTGTAATGGTCAGAGAAATTCTAAAAATTCCAATAACTGCATCTCAAAGACTACAGGCCTGAGTTAGCATGTTAAATCTTAAAGATCATGAGAATTCAATTAGAAAAAATACAGCTTGTTTGAAAGGTTTGCCAGAAGAAAGCCTCTTCTGTCTAAAAAGTATATGGCAGTATAGATTAGCTGTGTAAAATTGCACCTGAAAGATCCAGAAAACATGTGGAAAGACCAAAGTGAAAGTGTCTTGCAATAATGCACAACAGAGGAGTTGGCAAAAACAAGCACATTTAACAGCTGTCATGCATTGGAATAGAGGGGTGCAATTATGGGCTTGTATAGCAATCACAGGATCTGAGCACTTTGCAGTGACTGATCCAATCGTGGAGGTGGAAAAAAGTCCTGTTCATCAACAGTAGTCCTTACCAGTTTCTCTGTGGCAAGCTGAATCGCCTTTTATTGTTATTTATATGTTTTTCTTTGTCTGCTTAGTGTATGGTTTTATTATTGGAAAGCACTTTGGTCAACTGTGTTGTTTGTGCTATATAAATAAAGTTGGATTGGAACTTTGATGATAAATATGAAAAAAACATTGTAGATGTAAATGTGAGGCCTTCTGTATTTTCATGCATTGCAATATGCATGCATTGACCAACTTGCCTATAAAGAATATATCAGATATGAAGTTAATAAAGATAGTAAAGCCTGAAAGCTTTACCTTCAGTCGCTGAATCAGCAGAATTCTTCTGGGTCACAGCGCCACCTGCAACTGACAAAAAATAATTTCAACCCACATAACTGTATTATAATATATGAATATGTGTATGTTCTGTGTCTGACTGAACAACACCATAGGTATGTCATAACCACAAAACCCTATGAAATCCTAAACTGTAAGTTACTGCAAAACTCGACATGCAGTTCTTTAGAAATGTGGCTACATATTGTGTCAATACATCCACAATGACTGTGATTGTTCAGTGCACATTTCCTCATCAATACCTGCAGTACATTTCTGGCTACTTCTTCTGCCATCATATTTTTCTGAAAGAGACATGACCCTTTCAAACAGAGAAATTCTAATGCCAAACTGTTTTTAAGGCTATACATCAGGGGTTTCAAACTCATTTTACTTTGCGCTCCACATATACCCCACTATTTACTTAACTGGGCCACACCAGTGAAACTCCCCTTTCTGTCGGGGTAAAGAAGTTACATAACTGTTTTTTTCTACACAATAAGGAAATATGTAATATATAAATGGCTTCAACTGCACATTTGGGCCTGTGAGACTCATTTAGACACTCAGGTACTGAGCCATGGCTCTGTTCTACATGCAGACATCCCTGCATTGCTGCCATTCAAAGACACTTTTTATATAGTTTATTTTACATAATATTCCATATTAAACTGTAAATTTAGGCTTTTTCAAGGAAGCAATTTTTTTTAAGTGTTTTCATAAATGCCTCATTTTTGAACATTTACTACTACTAGGGAGAACACACGAGGTTTAAGGGTTGGAAAAGTTTGAAACTTTTTGTCCTCCACAATGGAAAAAAAAAAACAAAAAACAAAAAACAGGTATTACTTTATTCAGCTCAGTGCACTGAGCCAGATGCTCCTCATTTTACAATTTTGTTAGTTTCTTCACTTTTCCTGACATGCTTGCATTTAAATCAGGCCCCCCCCAACTCTCTATGTACCTGGCCTGCACCACTATACTTGCTGTCTTTATATGGAATTTCCGCCCCACTTCCTTTCAAGACTTGTCTTTGCCTGTGATTGGCAGCATGGTGTCCTGATCAAAATAAAGTCCCGCTCTGCCTGCATGGATTCTCATGCAGGCAAGGGTGTGCATTAATAATTAATAAATGACATATGCAATTAGTTTCAATTCCAAAGTTCAGGAAACAACTATCTGGCTATTTTTTCTTAAAATTTAAGTCTATGCTAGTCAGTATTGCTGGGATTTATTGACTCAGGATTACGATAACAAAAACAACAAAAAGGTTGTATACCATCCTCTGCATTGGATTTCCTTCTGATAGCCAGCCAGCTCCCTGCTGATTCCCCAACTCCCTGTATTTTGCATTTATAAAATCCTTCATGAGACGTTGAAACATTTTGGATTTCTAACTTTCCACCATAGCTGGTACCCATGGGCAAGCTATCTTTGTAGAAATCAGCTGTGAAATTTGAGTCTTGTTTCTCTGTCTTGTTTCTACAGTGCAGAGTAACAGCATCTCCCTCCATCACAGGACGGACAGGACTCTCCAGTATCACAGCACCAGCTGAAAATGCAAAGAAATTTATAAATGTTACAAATGTGCAATGGTTTAGTCATTATAACCTTCACATTTCAGATTTTAATTCTGATAATAACATACCTGTAACAGTGATACTGACAGTGTTGCTTCTCTCTGCTCCACTCTCACACCAGTATTTTCCACTATCTGTAGCAAAAGCATATTTGATCCCACAAGTCCTCGTCACAGTGTTATTGGAACATTTCGAAAGGATTTGCTGAGTGTTCCTCACTTTCCATCCTGCTGAAATGTTAAACCCTTCACAGGTAAAAGAGACTGACTCATATTCAAAGAGCTGCAGTCTGGATGGAATGATGGAAAAAGATGAACCTGAGAAAGAAGGATGCAATAAAACAACGACTGAGTTCCCAGAGATTCAAGAAGTAAGGCCCGTGCTAATTCAGTGTGAGTGGTGGAAAACAAGGATTTAGGCAGAAGGATTGGAAAACATGACATGAATATAAAAGGACAAATACTACTTACAAGAGATCTTAGAATAACCTTTCTGCACATGTGCCATCAGCAGCAACAACCCTGCAGAAACAGTCCCAACGGACAGTTTTTTTTTCACACCAACATTTACAATTTAAATTTGAATTTATCTGCAGTCAGCATGAAAGTATGTTTGCTCATCTTTTTGTGACTTATTGGATATGCAAGAGATCGACATTTACATCTCCATTATAATCTAACTGATATCATCATATGACAGTTCATTAGTTGCACAAATATATTTCACATTACAAGTGCTAAAAAGTAACACATAATTTGCAAATCAGGTGTTAGTAAATGTTACATTTTCATTATTTGCACAACTAATATTTTCTTTAAAATGAAACATGTTGGGGTAGAACAGGAACAGACTACTGCAAAAAATATAAAAAAGATTCTATATTCAAGCAAATTACATGAGGCAAGAGACGAATGCTGTACTCACAGAGTTTACTACAGAGTGCGATGACTTCCATGCTGGCTTTCTCACTGAGAGTATCAAGCAACATTAAATCTACATATGTAGCTCATGTCTTCCTCTTCCTGTGCAGGTCACTTTACTTCTTGTGTTGAGCAGACTTTATTGAGTAAGTTTTATGAAGACTGCTGCAAGTGTGTTACAATAATAAATACAGATATGTTAGACTGAGGGCAAAAAGGCAGCAGAGGCCATCATTGACAACAAAGCAGAGACAAAAAGGGGAAAAAGAGCTAGGAGTGAAACTTTACATAAGATTAAGTATTACATGACAGTGTGAGCATGAATAACAGGTGCCATAGTGCCCCCTTCTGACCAGTAAACACTGTCATGTTTTTCAGTTATAAGAGGGCAGAGTCCAATAAAGCAGCTCATATCATTGCCTCACGGGAGCATGGCTGTAGTATTTTATAATCACCTGCTTCGGCAGGTAGAGATGGCCCCTAATGGCCCATTGAATGGACTGATATCATTGGAAGTGGGTGAAAGAAACTGCAGAAATCATTTTCAGCTCCTCTTTGGTTTACACATGATCTGTACTAATCTAATGCAGTATGCAATCAAGGTCAACCGTCCCTGTGTTCATCATGCTCAGTGTTTATCTGACAAACACCAAAGAATGTGCAGCAATGAATGTTAGAAACTGATCCGACCGGAGTGTCCAGTTTGCTGTGAGTCAGTAATACTTGTCTCAGTTTTTGTTTCCTGGTTGGCCTCCAGCAACTCATTTCAGTTTGAAAGCGACAGTTTGGATCACTGTGTTGGAACCTGGGGTCTTTATCTGTGGTAAGATACTCTTTTATTTGTTTGTTTTGTTTTTTGTTTTGTTTTTGAGTCAGAGAACAAACAAACAAGAACCTTATACCAAAACACCAAAACTGTGGTAAAAAACAAAGGGATTTTTTCTACATGTTACTGAATAAACTCTGAATAATGTCAGACTGTTGTTTAGAATAGAATAGAATAGAATTCAACTTTATTGTCATTGCACATGCACAGGTACAGGGCAACGAAATGCAGTTTGCATCCATCCAGAAGTGCTTTAGTGATATAGATATATTACAATATATATTAGCAATAATATAGATATGTGAGTATATTACAGAAATGGGTCTATTATGGTATGTTATA